AAAAACAATGACACTCTCATACATAATAATAGCACAACCCTCAAAACCAGGAACTTAATACTGATATACCACTGCCATAGAATCCAAATATTTCTCTCAAATTTTGCTGAGTGTCCTAATAATGTCATTTATAGATCTATGATTAAGTCCAGATCATGCATTGCATTTTTATTTCTTTTGTACTCTTCAATCTTGAACAGATCATTCCTTAATTTTCATGACCTCTATGTTTTTTATACTTTGTATTCTGAACTAATTTTAGACTAACAAAATTTTCAGAGTATATGAATTTCTATATGCTTTTCATTCAGACTCTCCAAATCTTAACCATTTTAACACATTTTTCTTCTTTCTTTTTTCCAAAGCATTTCAGAAAAAAATGCAGCCATGATGCTTCCTTACTTCTAAAACTTCAGTGTGAATTTTCTATTAACAAGGACTTTTTCTTATATTACCACAGCACAATTATCAAACTCAGAAAATTAATGTTAATATAATACTCTTATCTAACCTACAGATATTTTTTCCACTAGTGTTCTTTTTATCAAAAGAAAAAAATAATGTCTGCTCCAGGATCCAATCTAGGATCACAGGCTGCATTTTGTTGTCACATCTGTTTAGTGTCCTTTAATCTGGGACAGTTCTACAGCCTTTTATATCTTTCACGATCTCAGAATTTTTGAACAATACAGGAAAATGATCTTGTAGACTTTCTTCAAAAAATGGGAAATATCAGCAAATAAATGAAAACAGTGAAAAGAACAAATTGGAAGACTTAGAACACTATAACTGATATAAGAAAATCATTGGATGAGCTCATAAAAATAATGGAGATGCAGAGGGAAATGTCAATAAACTTGAAGATAGATCAATCAAAATGATCAAATGTGAAGAACAGAGAAAAATACTGCAGAAAAGAACAGAAAAAGTAGTAATAGAGCTTCAGGAACCTGTCTGACATCATGAAACTGTGTGGAGTCCTAGACAGAGAAAAGGAAGATCAGGACAGAAAAAAATTTGAAGAAATAATGGCCAAATGCTTCCCTTACTTGGTGAAAGATGTAAGTTTACAGATTCAAGAAACCTGACAAACTCTAAACAGGATAAATCCAAAGAAAGCAGTGGGTAGACACACCATAATCTGCTAGAAATAAAAGATACAGAGAAAAGCCCTGAAAAGAGCTAGAGGAAAAAGATAGATTACATTGAGAGAAACAATGATCCAAATTACTACAGTTTCTCATCAAAACCATGGAAGTCATAAGACAGTGGAATAACTTCTTTTCTGAAGAATAGCATCAAATTTTTAAACGTTTATACCCCTTAACTCAAAATTACACTTCTAGGAATTTGGTATAAATAAATGATCAAAAAGCACCTAAAATGCTCATTTTAATTTTGCTTTAAACAGCAAAAACTATAAATACTTATCAGCTGAAAAGAGATTAAATGTATTATTGTACATCTGTATAAATTTCTTTTTTAAAAAAAGATTTATTTGAGAGAGAGAGAGAGAGAGAGAGGAGAGACAGAGCATGTCAGCAGGTGGAGGGGCAGAGGGAGAGGGAGAGAGAGAATCTCAAGCAGACTCCCCACTGAGCATGGGCCTGATGCAGGGCTTGGTCTCAAGACCCTGAGACCATGACTTGAGCAGAAATCAAGAATTGGATGCTTAACCGACTGAGCCACCCAGGTGCCCCTATATAAATTTCTATTCAGTCATTTAGAGGCTATTCATACACTTATTGCCATGAGACAATATCCACAGTCTTATCAAATTTGGAAAGCAAGCTATTTAAAAGGTATGCATGCCATATTTTCTGAACTTATGCACACAAATTCTCACCAAAGCAAGGAAGACAATATCACAGCTTTGTCTAAGGAAGAAAGACCAAATGTTTAAAATACCATTAGTTTCAAATATTATTATTTTCAACATTTTATCTTAGTGTTAACATTCCCAAATCATGACCAAGAAGCTATGTCTTCTTGATTGAAGTGAGCTCCTCTTAAAAAGAGGAACTTCAATTTAATTTTAAGAGGAACATTTAATATTACCATGGTAAACTGTTTAAAATGGTCCCCAATGAACTGTGCCTCTCTGAGTCTATACCCCTTTGCCATGTCACTTTGCTACTCTTCCTGTTGAAAGGTGGGGGTGTATTTCTCCTGAATCTAACTGGCCTTGTGACTTGCTTTGACCAATAGAATGTAGTGGAAGTGGTATTCTGCGATTATTGAGCCCATATCTTAAGTAGCCTGCTAGCTTCTGCTTCTGCTTTTGGAATGCAGCAACTATGTACAGGCTATTCTACTAAGAAGAGAAGTCACATGAGGAGCAAGCCCCAGAAGGTTGAGAGACTGTGGGAAGAGACAGGACACACAGAGGAGAATGGAGGTACCACAGCTCATAGCCAGCACCAAGGCCCAGACTTGGGAGTGAAGCTTATTGGGATCCTCCAAGTCTAGCAATGTTGTCCCAGTTAATACCACATGAAATAAGGATGAGCCATTTCTACTGCTGCCTGAGGTCCTAATCCACAGGGTCGGCAGTAAATGGTGGTTGTTGTAAACTATTTAGTATTTGCAGTAGCTTGTCATGCATAGGTAAGTGAAACATTACCATTCAATTAAAAATCTTGACACCAACTTAAATACTGCTTATAGCTAGAGAACAAGAAAATGTCCAGAACATAACATGGTGACCATTTTGAGTGGGCATGCAAGAGCAAAACAGTCGCTATTAAAAAGATCAAATTTGGGTATTCAAGCAAAACTTGATGAATTTGCTTTCCAAGAAGGCATCACAGTTTTTTAACTTTATGATTCTGGTATTTAGAATTGTTATGTAACATTAAATTCATTTCACCAAGGTATATTTGAAAATTCACAGTAAAAGTAAATAATTTAAAGCAATGTTCTGCTAAAATGACTATCAAAATTCATGGCAGTAAATTTTGAATTCATTGTAGAGACATCTGCTATGCAAACAAATTACCAAAGTGATCTCAATGATTCTCAGTATGCACATCCTTATTTAAATAAGTTATACTACCTTTGACAACTATTGAATCTTCCTCATTCCAAGTCCTAAGCGAGCAATGTAGGTCCAGGTCATTCCACATAGTTGACATTTGAGAAATAGATACTATTCAAAAGCTGTAAAAAACCCACAATTTACAAAACAACAAGTGTGCATTTGAAATCATAGTCATCTATTCTATTCCAGTATCAATAACTGACATTCACTTCAGAAATCAACCTAATGTAGTATTATAAGGATTCCTCTTGAATATGTTAAAATCATTCTAAAAATGAAACTGCTACTAAAGAAATCCCTCTTTTTCTAAGTTCTCTCAAAATTTAAGACAGTAAATAGTAACAGCACCCGTAAGAATAATGTCATGTATTCTTTCAAAAATCTCCTCATAGGCATTATTTTATTAGATGCCCATAACAGGTATGTATCAATTTTATAGATTAAGAAACAGGGCCCTGGATAGATGAGAAAGGTGCTTATTGTCACTGTCATAAGAGTATCTTTTAAATCATAAACCTAAGTTCCCTAAGAGTTAAATGTCTAATGCCTAACTCATGTATTATTGTCAGTGGAGATCACGACATTTGGTGCAGTCAGCACTGTAAGGCAGATAGGGAAATGGGGACACAACCCTGCTCCATGTCTATTTAAAGCATAAATTTCATGGGAATCTTTCAGCCAGCTAGCAAACTTCTGTCATGTTTCCTGACAACCAAAAAAGTAAAACAACAGCTCCTTTTAAAGGGAAACTATCACTTCCTGTGATACCATATATATATATATATATATAACTATATATATATATATATATATATAGTTATAATAAGAGTAGATGTTGAACAAAATGGCACCCAGAGAGAATCTGAAATATCCTATAATATCCTGTACCTTGGAAAATGGCTGCAAGTTAAAATGTTCCATTACATAAAAAGGCCGCCCAACAAGCTTAAAATGCAATAATTCAGTGTGGGGTATATTTTATTGTCAGTTATCAGAATGAAATATACCAAGAAGTCAATTAACTAAGAATTTATCCTTTAGACAATAATAGACTGTTACCCTTGGCAGGTACCAAGGAATTTAGACTTCTAAAGAGAGTTATAATTAAATTGAGAAAATGATGTTTATAAGAAAGAAATCTAGGATTTTAACAAGTTAACTCTAGAAATTATTATAAACAGCATATAAATACTAACGCTAAAAAGAGCAAGTATGGTGGTGGCTCAGGGAACAATGAAACAAAGTAAATCCTGAACTGCAGGATGAAAATGTTGACAAATAGATGGGTAGGATTTATGAAGTCATTTTTAGTAAACAAGATAAGGAGGAAAGAAGCGCAAGAAAGGTTTGGAAGTTAGGGGGAAAGTAGAAATGCATTTATTTGGAGGTAAAACTTGGAAAATCCCCAGATGCTCTCATTAGTGATTGAGGTATTTTCCCTTCTCTTCTTTGAAGAGGATTTGGAGACTATTTATTATAACTTGTGGTGGAAAATAAAAGTGCAAATTAAGTGTTCAGTGAGTTGGGTGTGCGAAATAATCAACGTCTCCTCCCCACTCATTCATCACCAAATCTGCACACCCTGCTGTATTCTTGATCTTTGTGAATAGTAAAACCATCCGTCTAGTTTATGAATCAGAATCTCTTTCCATGCCCTTCTCCTTGAATCTACCACCAAATCCTATAAAGCGACTTCCCAGTTCTTGAAACTGCTCACTCCTTCTAGCCCCTTAGTCCACGCTTTGGATTCCTAACTGGTCTCAAGCCAATGAGGCCATTCCCTCCCCTCTCCCTTGTTTCCCCAGTCCCCACCCCGCCCCCCCAGTCCCAGTGTTGCCAGCATGATCTTTCTAGAACAAAATGTTGATTATGGTATTCTACTTAAAATCCCTGTGACACCTCATAGCTTTCAAAAATTATAAACGCATAGATCCTGCCTGATTTTCTAGCTTCATTTTTTTTTTTTTTATTGTTTGACACTTTATTGAACTTTGCAAAGCGAGACTGAGCATCTTTGCCTTCGTTGTATGCAGCTGAAGCAGGAGCTCAGGGAGGGGAAGACGGCGCTGCTTTCCTTGGCAGGGAAGATGTGACCCCTGTAGTCCTGTCTTGTGGTGGGAGGACTAACCCATGTTCTGTCGGTTGCCATAGCCCCTAGGATGGGTGTCCTTCCAGTCATCCCACTCCCGAGCTCTGCGGAGTGTTTGCTCATCATCCTCAACCTCCTCCTTTTGTTCCTCATCTTCCTGTTGCTGAGCACTTCTTTTGAGCTCTGCTGGTGTCTTGGCTATGCCCTGATCTGGTAATGCTCCAAATTTCCGATGCTGATCATACCAGTCATTCACCGTCATAGATGCCAGACTTGGATAACCAGCTCCAAATACTTTGGCTTGGGCCACATTCCGAGTGAGAACAAAGGGTTTCATTGGAGGCCTGTCCTGACGAGGTGAATGAGAAGTTGATGCCTCTGTTGAGGAGTCTTTTTCTCTCAGGATCTTCATCTCCTGGTCAATGCTCTCAATCTCTTCCAAGCTGATACCAATCCACCTTCGAAGGTGAAGGAGGTAATATTCACGAACATGCTCATCATCTGCTTGACCACTTTCCACGGCAGATTTCAGTGCAGACAACCTATGCTCCAATTCCTTCTTCTGCTTGTATCTCTCTATTTTAGCTTGTCTTTGAGATGCCATATCAGCAAGGTTAGGATAGGCCATGGAGGAACTAGCTGTGTTAAAATCAGTTGAGTTGTTCTTGGTTTTGGGCAGCTCAAACTCTGCCACATGATAGTACCGGCACTGAATTAAGTAGTTTAAAAAGTGTTCTCGAGCCCACTGCAAATGATCTAGACGCTTGCTGGGGTTGACTTGTTTCATGGTGAGTGCTCCTTGAAATGCTGGCACCATCAGGTACTTCAGGTCGGTGGAAGCAATCTCTTCCAAATCTTCATTTCGGCTGAACAAGTCGAGCTGCAATAACATTTCGGCAGCCTTCTTAAGGAGGTCTAATCCCTTGACCACCTTTTCCTGGATCACTCGGGAACCGGTGGGTTCAGTCGCTACTTCCACTTCGTCTAGAAGCTGTTTGCTGGTTTCGAACAGCTCGGGGAGCCGCGGTAGCAGTAACTCGTCTTCGGCTGTTGCCATCTTGGGGGAGGGAGGAACCTCTAGCTTCATCTTTATAACCCCACATTGACACATTTTGTTCCAGGCAAACTGAACTCTACATACTGTACTCCATGCCATGTCGTTTCCCTCGGCCCACAATTTATCCATGTAACTGCCACTTGACTTCTAAAGTTTGACACATACATGTGATCATCTCCAGAAAACCTTCTTTAATCCCTCACTCTGATGTCTGTTTCTCTTCCTGGCTCTCTTCCAATAGCCTTAGGTCTAGAATATGATCATGGCGTGCAGCGGATTAGGGAAGAGTCAGCCAGGCAATTGTCCAGGGCACCAACCTTCAGGAAGACTTACCTTCATTAGGAACATTGCAAGAGAAAATTGTGTTTATCAATTCTGTATGTGGTTAAAAGGACTACTTTGAAATGCTTCTAGGGAAGCCTGAAAAGACTCAAGAATATGCTTGAATAGCAATAAATGGTTCCTAAATTACCTTTCAAAGAGGGTGCATTTGGTTAGTTCCCAAGTTTTTGTTTTGCTGGTTAGGGATTGCAGGCTTGGAGTCAGAGCTGAACTGTTTGGAACAATATAGGAGAGGGTATCCTAGGCCAATAGAGGTCCCTCTGCATCTTTCTCTGCACTGTGTTTGCAGCGTGGGGGTCTGTGCAAAACTGGTCTCTCTCCAAAAGAAAAATGGATTGGATACTTAAAGAACATCAGTCTGGGGGCGCCTGGGTGGCTCAGATGGTTAAGCATCTGCCTTCGGCTCAGGTCATGTGCATCGGGCTCCTGGCTCAGCAGGGAGCTTGCTTCCCCCTCTCCCTCTGCCTCTCCCCCTGCTCATGCTCTATGTCTTAAATTAATAAATAAAATCTTTTTTTCTAAATATTTTATTTATTTGAGAGAGAGAGAATGAGAGATAGAGAGCACAAGAGGGAAGAGGGTCAGAGGGAGAAGCAGACTCCCTGCCGAGCAGGGAGCCTGAAGCGGGACTCGATCCTGGGACTCCAGGATCATGACCTGAGCCGAAGGCAGTCGCTTAACCAACTGAGCCACCCAGGCGCCCCTAATAAATAAAATCTTAAAAAAAGAAAAAAAAGAACATTAGTCTGAAGGGAAAACAAAGATCTAATTAGCTTTCTCAGGAAACGCCATGTTTCCGTCTGGACCTGATCATAATATTTATGACTTGATCTTGTAATAAGTCAAATGACTTACTGAAGTTCTCCATAAGTTTCCCAAGTGCTGAGAGTATGACTTTTTTGTTTTGTAACAAGCCCAAAAAAGGAACATGTTCACCCAAACGTGTGACCTGGAAATATAATGAACTGACACCTAAAGATCAAAATTTAGCAGTGTGCCCGGATGGCACTATTATCCAGAGAAGAATGACCTTGAGTCAAACAGATAAGAATACTATGCTCGCTAAAAGACCTTCTTTATCATGGGATAAGCACAGAAAATTGTGAGTGAAATATACCTTAAAACTGTCCTTTCTTTGATTTGGCCTCATGTTTACCAAGTATACTACTGACTGCTCATGGAGAAGTCCAAATCTATGATCCCTAGAAAAATATATCTACCATTATAAATCAATAAATTTACATTCTAGTTTATATATTATTCTCTTAAAAGTGGAGAAGATATCTTTAAATGATCAATGGTGTGTAACGTGGACAAATCGTAATTTCTGGACCTCTCATTCTGGTGACCAGATCAACCTATCTGAGGTTTTGGGAAAATCAAATCAAATAACATATGTGTAAGCATTTTCAAAATTATACAGTTCCTACATGTATTTTTTCCTCTTTGACAAGAATGACCTGCATATTTCAAAGGATATTTTAGCTTTGATTACTTTTGTCCTAAAATTTTATTTCATTTTGGTACTACTTTTGACCAGTAGAAATTTTATGCTCTTGACCTGATTTAAACTAATATTTTCCTTCTTTCTGCTGCCAGTAAAATATTGTTCTATTCAACTTTTCTCAAGAGAAAGATGATCTGTATTTCTTCATAGTAGGCTACAACATTAAAAAAGAAAAAGGGGTACCTCTTGACCGATGACTCTTCTTCTTTGGAATATATACAGAATTCTGTGAAAAAATAAGCTATTAGGATCTTTTAGGATTAAGTTACATTGCTTTACTAGAGAAGAAATTACACAGATGTGGAATTTACAAGAAATGATGTATTTTCTGGTAATGACACGTATTGATTTGGCAGTTGTTTAAATATTATGTCAACCAATTATATTTAAAATCTCAAGCAGATTGGAGAGATAATCTGCTTGGAGGTTGGAGAGAAAAAAAGTACTATCGAGGGCGAGTAAAATTATTTTTTGAAAAGTGCTATTTGACTTGAGCCTTGTAAAATCAAAACGAATATGAATAATCTTCAATTTTGTCAAACCAGGATATTAAATCATTTAATTATGCCACTCAACCCAGTAGAAATGCTATTTTCTTGCACATATTTTATGTTCTATTAGAAAATTATGTTGCGTTAAAATGAACAGCTTCATAATCCCTTATACAAAACCCATAGGGTAAATGTGTTTTGGAATTAAAACTTCAGATTTTAGAAAACTAGTAGTATGTGTTTGCAGATATGCAGTGTGGTGGTAGTAAAAGACTCTGAAAAAAACGTGTGTATATATGTTTATTATGACTTTTACTGATCAATGTATAGCAAAATTACAAATAATAATAAAATATACAATACTCTTCTCTGTAATTCTATATAACCAACTGATTTTCACAGAATTCTTTAATTTTTGTCTAATTCCTACATTCATAGCCAATCTATGATTATGATTAATGAAGGCATGTAATTCAATCACAAGCATTGATATTTTCCTTAATTCTTATCTTTTGGGGCTTTATTAGGTTTCTTTTCTAGCTTATACACACATATACACACATACATACATACAAGTGCATACATATTAAAAGCATTGCAGGTCTTACGTGTCTAACTTCCACTGTAGCTGCACCCTATAAATTTTATGTTGTACTCTCATTATTGTCTAGTTTTTATTTCATTCTCAGATAGGTTGGATTAAATTGCTTCCTTACTTTTTTTTTTTTAAATGGTGTAGAGGCAACTTTATACCCATAAAACCTCTCCAAAGTCCTCAGCCTATACTCACCTATTCCAATATTTTTTGTAGTGTGTCCTGCAAAATATTTACAAGTTTTCTTTCAACTGACAAATAAATTTGGGAAGAAAGGGTTAAACAAAGTTAAAACAAGTTTCTCTAATGCAGGATTAATATGCTATTATGTGTACCAGGGAAAAACAGCATGTCTGACCTCACGTTGCTTCTATTTGCCTAGCTGCTGTGATCTATACCTTCGAAACTTCTGCTTAGCCCTGAATGTAGGCATGCTATCACTAAGGCTTGCAAAAACTGCTTTTTTACCCAAAATCTACCTCACCTATGGAGATAAAGAAGTATGTACAGAAATGACTGTGCTATGTTTAAGATTTACGGGAATGACATGACCAGATTCCTGTATGCAAAGATCAACTGACCAAGGACAGAGAAGTTACTCAACCTTCTTCGATGTCTACAGACATCAGTCACCTTTTGACTCCGACTCCCTCCTACACCCCCCTCTTCCTAACATAAAAGAAGCTCAAATCTCAGGCTCGAGGAGATGGTTCTTTGGGACAATAGTCTGCCATCTCCTCAGCTTTTCAGAACCGACTTTTAAAGCTAAGTATATGTATAACTTCGTTTTTAAAAACACAATTTAAAAATAATACAAGCTCCCACTGGTTGAAATAGGAAATGGGGCATCAGCTATGAAAAACAGTATAGCAGTTCCTCAAAAAAATCATATAAATGGAATTATATGATCTAGCAACTCCACTTCTGGAAATATATTCAAGAGAATTGAAAGTGTTGTTTTGAAAGATATTTGTACACCTCTGTTTACAGCAGTCATATCTACACTAGTCAAAACATGCAGGCAATGCAAGTGACCATCAGTGGATGAGTGGATTAAACAAAAGGTGGTACAACACAGATGGAAACTCAAGGACATTGTGCTAAGTGAAATACGCCAGTCACAAGACGACAAATACTGTATGATTCCACTTATATGAGATAACTAGTCAACCCCACAGGAAGGGAAAGTAGAATGGTGGTTGCCAGGGCCTGGCAGGCAGGGGAAATGAGTTTTTTAATGTGTATAGAGTTTCAGCTTTGCAAGCTGCAAAGAGTTCTGGAGACTGTACAACAAACGAATATACATTGTGAATAACAGTACTGAACTGTATACTTAAAAACGGCTAACATGGTAAATTTATGTTCTGTGCATTTTGCCATAATTATAAATAATTAAAAACAATATGAGATTCTGGGTCCCACTCCTGACTTAATGGGCCAGAACCCAAGGCTGAGCCTGGGGAATCAGTATTTTTAACAAGGGCCCACATTCATTCTGATGTGCATTATAGTTTGAAATCTGCTGCCCTAGGAATAAACCACCTACCTTCTGAATGTAGTAGACCAGCATTTTCATTCATTTCAGTCTAGCATTCCTGATCAAGGGTATATACTCCCAGCTGAGGAATTAATTCCCAAGTCACTAGAGAATAGTCCAACTTATATGGAAATTATTTATATAGCAATTTAATTCCAAAGAGGACTTCGTTATTTACTAATCCCTATGATCATTGTTCTCCAAAGAGTGGGGCAAATTATAAGTATTATCCATCTACAACTCAGAGAGAAACTGAAGCAAACGGAGATCAATTGTCCAGAAAAGACCAAATTTGAGGAAGATGTAATATCTTTTGATAAACATTACCTAATCACTACGTTGTGTTTACTACAAAAGAAATTCAAAGATGAATTCCCCTCTCCCAGAGTTCATAGATCAGTACTGACACCCCCATAACCTATGGAGATCAGAAACTTTCTCTTATCAGCTAATCTCACCCCACCACACCCCGCCCCACTTAGGAGTCCAAGGCCAGCTTATTTAGCTCTCTCTTCCCTCAGTTCCTAATTCTATGAACGCTATTTTTAAATATTATGCAGTTTACCAATATTT